CCCCCTGCGCCACTCAGGAGGAGGAGGTGGAGAAATCGGCATTGATGTGTAGCCCAGGAAGAAGGGAGGGGTGGGGGGAAGGTGCTCTGCTTTTAAGATCTGTTTGCTTTTTCTTATTTCTCACTACTCCTCTCTGATTTGTTCTCTTAATAAAAATCGAGTCTGTTTTGCCCAGGACAGTAAATGAAAGTGATCTCCCTGTCCTTATCTCAAACCTTGAGCCCTTTGAAATATTTTCTCCCCCTGTCTAGCAGAGAAGGGGGAGTGAGAGAGCGGCTGTGTGGGGACCTGGCCGCCGGCCAGGGTCCAACCAGAACAAGTTGTTAAAAAAATTCAACGTACAAAATGAAAAAAAAAAAGTGAGTTTGAAATTGTGAAACTCACTGGCTGAATATCAGTCAGCTGCTATTCTTTCTACTGCTGATCGTTGTTTTTGCAAATTTGGGGAGAATTTCGTATTCATTGCAGCAAATTTGTTTAGTTCCCATCTGCCCTCTTGTGGAAGCTGGAAAATCTTGTTTTTCACTTTGAAAAACAAACAGTGCAGGAGGTCAAAAATGTTGCAGCAGTGTTGCATAGGAAAAATTTATTTACTTTCTGGACGATAAACTACTATTCTTTCCTTAATGAATCAACTCTATATGGAGAAAAGTATATTAATACCCCTATTTAGTGTTATAATTTATGAAACTTTTGAAAAATCTGAATTTAATGCACCTTAATTTATTCTACATCTTCCAAACACAGTTTGATACGCATAGAAAGTTAAAAAACCATGCAACTCACATTTTCTAATGTAATGAAATTAATTATCCAGGTGTGTTTGTTTACTAAGCTTGTCATTGCCAGGTCTTTTGCTAGTGGGATGGGTCTTATTCTCCCATGCCAGTACTGTTGCTGTTTCCTCCTTTATGAGCATTAATTTTCTGGAATGTTAGGACTTTATGCTCTTTTTTAGCTTCACCATCTGACCTAAACTTCCTTTGGCTTCCTGCTCTTAGAAAACAATGTAGGAGTAAGTAAGAAGTAGGTCAAGGCAGACTGATAAGAAAGATTTTGGAATATGTGAAGTGTAAACTTCTGAGATTTTTTTTGTATAGTTTTAAAACTGGAGCTTTACATTCCTAGGAAGCTGAGACTACAAACTTTTCCCCTCAGCTGTTAAGGAGAAAACTTACTTTAATGTTGTCCAAGGGGAGATGAGTTCTATCCTTGATGATTAATACTGGAGTTGCTCTATGTTACTAACCTGAAGTAGGAACTTTGTCAGGGATGGAATTGTTTCAGTTGCAAGGACTGGGGGCAGAGTAACCTACTCTTTAAACATCATGTGAGAATCTGAAGTGGGTCATTATGGGTGAACATGCGTTTCTTACAAAAACACTTGTCTTGAAGAGTGATGTAGAAAGGTAGGACCTTAAGTCCGTTGCAGTCCTTCTCTGATCAGTGCGGGTGGAAGACTTTTATTCCTTGTTCTGATTTTTCCCAGAACAGGTTTTAAAGCACTCCTAAGCTGAAGGGTGTAATCAAAGAAATTTCGATTTAAACCTGTAAGCGCCTACATTTTTTGTCAGTCACGTACTTGAGGGATTTCAGTCCGATAGCAGGTGCCCACTTTGTGCCTAAACCATAGATTTCCAGTTGTGTGCACTCATAAACCTGATACTTGAGGCATGTCCAGAGTACACTTAACGACATATCTGCTGGACTGGATTTTGTGCAAAACACAGGCAACTTCTCCCTTTCATTAAAGATTCTACAGAGGGAGAAAGGTGGAAGGCAGTGGTCATGATCGTCTTTAACGCAGTAGCCTCTTGTGCAGTGCTCCTAACACTGTGTTATACAGCTTGCAACATAGCCAAAGATCTGGCCAGACCCTGAAAAGGAATAGGATTTAAGCAGCTACTCTTTCTATAGAACTTTCTGTTGCCAAGGATAGGTGTCTTGTACACAATGTGGTGTTGTGGATCATACCGGAGGCACCGAGCCTCTGCTGTGGAGGTGCAGCACTTTGGATAGATGCTTTTTGGAGATGTAGCCCCTTTCTTTTAATAGTATTTGAAATCATAAGAAAGCTTTTTATTACACGCTGTTTGAGTGGGTTGCCAGAATATACCCATGCTTTCCCACATCTGCTGAATCATATGCCACGTATTGTATTTTAAGTAGAAAGACTGGAATTTTCAGTAGAAAGACCTACATTTTGTTTTTATTGTTATACACACACATTCCAGTATCAGAAGTTTAATTTTACAAGTAATGTGTATGCATCCCAATGACTAATGTTTTCCAGAGGTTTTACTGTTTGTTGTAAAAAGAGCGTATGCCTTACTAGAGAGTATGGAGCTAAGCAAATAATCTGTTTCTTAAAAATAGAATTGCTAGAAAATTACCTTTTTTGCATTATGTAGATTTGCATACTGGAACTATTTTGTAGTCTGTAGTGTCTTTTACTTATAGGCAAATGACATTAACGTATCAATATTACTGAATTGGTACTTATGATTTGCCATAAAATGTATCTCATACTCTGTTGTTTTGGTTTTTTTTCACATTCTCTGTACTCTGAAAAGATCTGGTTTTCCAAAAATATTCTACAAAAGCAGACTGGTTACATGTGTTCAGTATAGAAGCTTACAATTTATCATTTGTATGCAGCAAATGCTAAAAACATTTGGGGTAATTTTGGGGATTCTGCTCCTAGATTACTGTATTTGTAATATGATTTTAAGAAGTTCATGTTATCCAGACACTAATTTGTAATGGACTGTTTTATGATACTGTAATGTGTTACTGTCTAGCTTAACTAAAGAGCATTTAGATCAAAGTAATCTTTTAGTATATTGCTCACAATTCTTGCACATACTTGGAAGATACACTGTATGCTTCTTATGAGAATTTGTCAGCTCTCTCTTCACTTTGTGGTATATCCTATTTTGACTTGATATGTAAGTAATAATTCGTTTTCGGCCAAGTGTTTTGGTTTATGCTGTATCTTCTTTTGGTATGATTTCGTTTCTTCTATTCTCTCTTCTGAAAGGGGAAACTGGTTTTGGAGTATTTACACTGAAAAAAATGTGTCTTTTTTTGTTTTGTTGTTTTACCCTCTTCAGCTTCCTCATGTGTTTGTGAACTGTGTGGAATACTTTACTTCACGACTTCTTTTAGAAGAAATTCTCATCCAGTTGCAAAGCTGTTCCAAGACAGAACAGACTTCGCGTGTGCCTTGTGATACTTTCAATGACTTTGTACGTCTGTTTAAACAAGCTATTGCAAGACAAGAGCTTCAAGATCAAACCCTATACATTGTAAGTAATTTAATTTTAGTGTTCCAGTTTCATTTTGGTTAAGAGGGTGTGAGTAATTGTTGTCAATAATTTGTATGTGAAATGTGTGTGTTACGGATCAGTTCTCACAAATTGCGCTGTGGACCTGCTTAGGAATCTGTTGATACTGTGTAGATTCTTTCTGTTAGTTTACTGGCTTTAGATGAGGTTCTGTATTTTTTGTTTTTTATTTTTTTATACACAAAAATTGTACAGCATAACTATTAATGAACACAAATTATATTGCATAGTTAAATTACATATCTATAATAATATTACAAAACTATTGGAGAGCCTGTATTGGTTTCGTAATTAATAAGTCATGCTTATCTGTTTCCTTGTGAAGGTAGCTTCAAAAATGAGAGAGGAAAGGTAGGAAGCAGGGCAGAAGTTAATTACAGAGCATGCAAATGTCAAGAAATGGTTGGCTAGAATAGGTTCAGATTAGAAGTTGTATTCAGGAACTAAAATGCAGAATTTCCTCTGTAAAAGTGCTCTTGAGATCTTGTATCTTCAATTACGCTTGTGGTCCACAGGGAGAGGAACTCTAGTTTAAGGATTGAGATGGAAAAAAAGACTGCAATGAAAAATGTTATGGTATACTCAAGTGGAATAAACAGGCAGATGGTAGGAAAAATAATCAGAATTTATATCACAGGAGTGATTGAATCAGTGTAGTACTAGAACACTAGGTTTTATTGGTTTTTGGTTTTCTACAAAAAGGAGTAAAAATTTACAGACATCTTTAACAACATTGGTTGTGCCCTGAGATGAACACATAAACAGATTTCAGGCTTACAAGAGGTCTGAAGAAGACAGAGACTCTTCAAAAGTACTTTCTTACCCTAGCTCTCGTTTGGTTGAAAAAAGTCTATTATCTTAAAAATAGGAACATAGGATTAGTGATGTGTAACTGTATATATGCATTGTGGACCTGCAAAAGACATGTACTGAAATTTCAGCCCAGCAGTAGAAATTAAGAGTTCTTTAACTGAGGTCAAATTGATTAAGAAAACATGAAAGTGGTTCAAGATTGAAAGTTTAATGACCCTGGTTAATCACTGTGCACGCTTCTCACAGCAATCAACAGGCACACTGCTTTGTTTTTTTGCAGTCAGACAAGAAGTTAATAATTAAATAGAACATTCTTCATTTGATTTCAGAAATTATAGTAAAATGTTTTATTTCCATTTGAAAATACTTAACCACTGACTTAAATAACTTCATATTATGTTTAGCGGAAGTAGTACTATCTCATAGTTTCCTACCGCTCATGAGGTTAATAAACTTGACATACTTGAAAATGAAATTAAGAAAAAAATGTACCAGTACTTAGAATAGATAAGTTTTACAAAGATAACGCATTTTAATTTACAGACACAAAAGTGGTATTGGCATCCTTCAACAATTCTGCAAGAACAAAATTTACAACTAAACCTGTGGAGAATTTTACAAAATACTTTATATAGAAAAATCTTACTTTCAGATTAATATTAGACTTAAACTGTTCTACATCAGTAAAGAGTGCTTCATTCATGTTATATGAAAATAAGTATCATTCAGAGAATTAGAAATGTCTTGAACAATAGTTACATAAAGCAAACTGTTAAATACCTAGAAAGGTTCAGTTCTATCATGTAAATAGTTGCTGAATCAGAAGAATTAAGTATTAAATTAGAATTTTACTTCCCTTCTGCACGGGAATGGACAGGAATGGGGGAAATCAATTCATGTGTATTAACCTGTGTCATCTGAATTTATTGTAGAGTGGTTTAAATTGAGACTGATAGAAGACCAGCATGCTGGTAACATAAACTGTCAAGCTAATTTATACTGTTTCATTTGGTAGTAAATAATGTAATATTTCAGCCCAGTTGACTCAGAACAAATTAAGATAAATGTTTACTTTCAAGCAAAGGATTCTAAATCTTTCTCCTAACACGACCATGAGTACTGAATGCCAGTGATTACTTGTGAAAAAGAAATTTGACATTCTAACCTCTTGAAAAATTGGAACCGATATATCTTGTAGTCATTCATTCATACATATACAACATTTAACACTTTATAGAAGCAACAAGCTGCTATTTTTACTCTAAGTCAGCAGACAGTTCTAAAATGTATAGTTTTGTAAAATGAGTGACAAATCTCTATTAAAGCTAAGGAATAAAGCATGAATACGTAGGCCTGTGGGTAGACTGCTTCTATGAAACACGTGACATATTCCACAAGCCAGAGTCACAGTATATTTGTGCTGCTCTAAGTAGAAACTCTAGTTTATTTCTCACTTAACTGAAAAGTAAGAGCTACGAAAGTCAAGACCTTAAAGCTTTGTGTTTGGTAGCTTCGTGTCACTGGGTCCAGTAAGCACTATTTTATTAGTTAAAATATGTAGTCTCTGATCAGTAACGTAAAGCAGTCTTCATCCCTGAAGTCATTCATTATGTAAACCAAATACAGGTGTCAATATAAAATCATATGTTGTATTGTAGTTTTAAATAAATTCCCAAGAAGCCTGAGCTATTATTGCAGAGATACTGCTCTTTCAGTTTTTTTTCGTGTACAGTGTGATTTTGAAATACTGTTTTCATAAAATGCTTCTTGGTTATCCAAATAAAATTCTTTTCTTGCTGTGGCCAACAGAAATGATAGATGCCTTAATGTTTTGGTTTGAGAATGAAATGTAAAAGGATAGAAAAATATAATTTTTTAGGGATCTCAAGTTTTTCTTTGAACGGCAGTAACTCAAAAGAAGTTATGGACTTCAGAATTTAGATTTATATTGTAAGTAGTAAATAAAACACAGAAAAAATGTGTTTCTATTCTCTTTTTTTATTGCCAGCAAGATTTTAGGTGTACTGGGAATACTATTTTTTTTGCCAAGAGATAACTCCGCATGTTTTTGTGCTCATTTTTTTCCCTTCTTTTTTTTTTTCCCCTTTCTTATTTTTAAGGCTCTAAAATATGTTAGTTGCTTAGTGTTTCCTGTCGAAGCTGTGCATACACTACGTATTTGTTAGTGCTATGCCAGGTTAGCATACAATACAATAAATCCTACAGATTTCTAGGGTGCAAACTCTGGCAAGATAAACTTCTCTCAAAATTCAGTTGTGTGAATTCCAGATGATAACTAACTTTTTGAAAGTGTCAGCTCTTATTTCTGAAAAATAATTTTGCAGTGGGGAAAAGATATCTCTCCTACGTTAAGGAGGTTGGTATGGTGCTGCAGTACTACACGTAATTTTTTAATATAAGAATAATTTTGAACAAAAACTGAGGTTTCAATGATTGTTAATGATACCATGTCAATGATATTCTTGACTGGTACGTTTTAGTTCTTAACTGCCACAAAGCATGACAATGTTGCTTGTCTGGGAATTGTATCTTTTTTTTTTTTTGGGATGGCAGAGCTGCTTAGGCTTCCAGCAAATACCCCTGAACCAATAGTCTCTCCAGTCTTGCTTGTTTAAGGGGTCTTGATACTTAAGTGGTTTCCGCTGTCTAAGAGTCATTGGTGAAATGAGTTTCCAGCCGCTAAGAATTAATTTCAAGTCCATGTGAGAATGGAAAGTGACGTTGTCTGTATAATGTCATTGTTTTGTTAAAAGGTACTGGATAGAGCGGAGCAGCTGAGGGAAATGGAAGCAAACATCCTGCCAGCGTTTCTCAGGCTGCAGGAGTTGGTAAGTCTCTGGAAAGAAACTAAAGTGTGTTTCCTGCATAGTGAAAGTAACTAAATGTGATATCTGTCCATCTAGACTCAAGATAAGTGATTCTTTAGATGAAAAAAATTGCAAAAATTAATCCCCTCCCCTCAAAACCCCCATATCAGCTGGCATTGGTCAAAACTAGAAACCAAACTGGAATTTAAACGTTGGCAACTTTTTCTTACATTCTTATTTATTTTTTTTAATCCTGTTTAGTAGTATCTTGGTTTTTGATATGTGATCTGTTGAAGATTCTTTTGAGGCTGGTTTCATACATAGATGCCTTTCCTAGTATGTTTTTTAAGAAGAACATGAAATTTTGCCACTTTTCGTTAGAAGTTTTGTAATAATTACAGAAAAAAATATCTCAGATTATAATCTGTAAGGAGAAGTTTGAATGTAGCTCCTGTTGGTCTAATATAAATAAATAAATAAACCCTCCTTTAGAGTATGTCGGATGTTTCTCTGGGAATCCAAGGTCCGCTTCTCAGCTGCTGATGCAGAGATCTGCCACATTGAGTGAATTCAGCTTCGGAAACATAAATTTGTAGCTCGGGAGATATTTTGTCTTACTCAAGCTTCTCCCATGTGAAACTTCACAGCGTTGCATGGTCGCTGTCTTGAGGATGGTCAGCAGGGCACTGGCTTTTTCATTGTGGTTGGAAGCTGCACAGCTCAACAGCTGCTAACGTGCTTTGGGCTGCCAGAGTTTTTACACTTCTGCTGGAATTGTGCCCCAAAATGTTTCCAACTGAAGTACATGACTGTATCTTTCCCCCTCTCGCTTGTGAAGTATCAAAGCTTATGCCTTGGAATGAGGAAAAATGGTTCATTCTCAGAAAAAAACACTAGGAAATGGAAAGAAGTCTGCAGAAAGATGCTGTCTTGTTAAAAGAAAATAAAGAGTTCCATAAAAATAAAGAAGCAACAGTAATGAATATGGTTGGGTGCCACTCTGGCGAGAAATGAGAAGAGTAAAAGATGATTCTCAGTGAATTTCAAGGAAGGGAAGTAGTATTTAAACTTTTCTTTTGTGTCATTCACAGCTCATATTAAGCATCGTCAATTCAATCAGGGTGCTGCTTTTATTTTCTTGAGGTGCATCAATAGTTTCGTCTTTCTTGAAGAAGTGTATTTAAAAGCATCTTTTTTTACTCAGAGTTTTTAGTATGGTTGCAAAAACCTTGCAAAAAGGAGCATCATCTTCACAGATAGTTAGCTTCATATTAAAAAAGCTGATATGTTGAAGGGAGACCAAAATAAGGAATATTTATTTAATATAAAGTGTTTCGTTATCTGTTGACCAAACCGTCAAACTCAAGGCAAGTGTACTGCCAGTAAAAACTTGGTTAAAAAAAAATGTTACTGTCTACAGCCATTGCTGCTAACTAGTAAAAGAGTTGGTACACAGTTAGTACTGTGTTTTTGTTTTGGGATTTTTTTTTTTACTTTAGAATAAAGTGCAAGACAGTCTGGTTTCATAAAGCACTAAGGTCTCTTTCACTGTTTTTACTATGCCTGTTTGTTCTGAAGGTCTGGGTTTAGTTTTCAAAGTAAAATGCTGTCTTAATGTTGGGAGCAGGCAGTGGAATCTACTTGATATCGGTCTAGTACCAGAGCTCTGCCACCCCACAAAGCTTACATGTCAGTGAGATTGCAAGGGATGCAGAGAAACCTCGTCTAATTATGAAAATCTACAAATGTATGAGCTTCTTGATTAGGCCAGCTGAAGCTTTAATTACTATGCTAGTTATTTGTATTAAACTGTAAATTTGATGATTTCTGTGAACAGTGAAATCACAATAATATTTTTTTCTCAGTGGTATTGTAACATGTAGTGTTATTTTTTTTCTTTGTCTGCCCATCTGTCACACTGTTTTTTGGTGGGTTTTGTTTCTCTTCTCTGTGCAGACTGACAGAAATGTGACAGTTGTCCTGCTCAGTGAAATAGTGTGGGAACTGTTCCGTCCAAATATTGGATGCTTTGAGCCACTTGTCTTGTATTTTCCTGATTACAGCATAGGTAAGATAATTCTTGAATCTGCTTTTCAGCAATTGAGAAGTCCTTTGTCAAACAATGTCTAAATGTTTTTACCAGTGTATCAGTATGCCTTTCACAGAATCCAGAATATGTAATAGCTACTGGAATGTTAAAGTCTGTATTCGCACATCTTCTAAAAGACTTGTCTTTTTCCACTTTTCAACACATCTCAAGTAACAGTTTGGTTCCTTTACATTTGCTTGTTCTTTTAATCAGTGTAGTTTCTGATGGATTTTGAGGTTTGTTTTAGTGATGATTATAGTTTATTTTTCCACTTGTGAAATGTATTCAGTTTATTAAGTTAGCAAACTTACTTATGTTTAAACAACAGGACATCTTCAGAAGATCTTGTCTCAGAATCATCCCCCAGAATATTCTGCGGATTTCTATGCTGCATATATCAATATTCTGCTTGGTGTCTTCTACATGGCCTGTAGGGACCTGAAAGAACTTCAGCATCTGGTGAGAGGAGCTGCTTTAGAGTTTTTTTAGTGTGTTGCTTTGGACCTCTTTTTGCTGATGGAGCTCTGAAAGTCTAGATTTATTGTTGAGTGTGGACAAATAGAAAATCATACATAGAATTGTTTGGGTTGACAGGGACCTTTAAAGGCCATCTAGTCCAACCCCCTGCAGTAAGCAGGGACATCTTTAACTAGATCAGGTTGCTCAGAGCCCCATCGAGCCTGACCTTGAGTGCATCCAGGGATGGAGCTTCTGGAACCTCTCTGGGCAACTTGTTCTATTGCTTCTTTTCATGTTCTTTTTACATGTTGTTATTTGACTTCACTCATGTTGCAGCCTTGTTGCTCACATGAGTTTGTGTAATCCCTGAAGTAGCCTTTGGTTGTATTAATTGCCTGGCGTGTGCAGTGAAATGCCAGGCACTTGCTTCCAGCGTCTGAAGGCGTAACTTCAACTACATGGTCTCAGCATGTCCAACCTTAAGTTCTATTGTTTGCTGTGTTTATTAAATATAACTGCCACCCAACATTCTTTATGCTTCAGTGTTATGGAAAATTTAACTTAAAATTTGAAACGTTTTCCTATATTATTTAAGAGTTCAAAATTTTCACTTAATTTGCCTTCCACAGAGGATGTTATGATAACCAAGCAGATACAAGTCAGATCTGTTGCATAGTTTTACAGACACATAGCATATAAATTTGATTCCATGATTCCACGACCGAGGTCTAGAGGAATAAGGATTGATATAAATGTTTTTGTTGTCTGTCTTCTGGAATTAAGAATAAAATACAAAAAGTTTCTGCAATGTAGTCATGATGAGGGAACAAGCTACATTGCAGATATTTGGAAAAAGGAGTTTTAACAATGTATCAGGTGAGGAATGTAACAGCAAACAAACTGAAGAGAAATGAAAAATTACTTGATGGTGAACTTTGCATAAGAAAAGCTGAATAGCAATAACAATTATTAGTTCATCAGATTATCTACAAGGAAATTGTAAAAGTTTGAAGTGATCACTGGTTATGGTCAGTGAATACATCAGTGCTAGAAGGATAAATGTCCTGCCTGCATTTCCATCAGGAAAACATAACTGAGCTCATCTATTAACTATGCTATATAGGTTTTATATTTAAATGATATTTAAATCTGATGGAGGAACAAACAGAAATTAGGGTCGCAGTTCTAGACATGTATTTGAGTGGTTTTGCTGATCCACATAATTTCATTAGCTTTAGATGCACTGTTTGTATGCATCGTTATGAAGAGATTTAGATAAATGGAACCCAGATTCTTTTGTGCTTGACAGGCCTCTTCTGTAGAAGATTATGACAGGCGTATACAACTGCAGGCATCTGAATAACTCTATACTATCTAATATAGACTCTAAATGTGTATGTTGTTTTAAATGATTATTAATAATATATTCTGGAATTAGTTTTATATGTGAAAATCATTGCATCTGTATACTAGCACAGAGGTTTACTAAGGTGCAGTAGAAGGAGCATGAAATATGAGGATTGCTATTATACAAAATTCTGTGTGATATTGATTTAACCATGTTAAAAAAAAAATCTAGATTATAACCTTGTCAAAAATCTCTCAGTCTTGCCTTAGGCAAAAGAAACTCGTTTGAATATGGAATGTATTAGCAGGAGTTTGTTTGTTTGCAAATAGCTTCTGCTTGTGTAATTTGTAAGTGTGTGCAGTCTACTTTTGAACGTGCTGAACAGCTCCTGGAATTGAAAGTTTTGTCTGCAAATGACGGGAGTGAAAAAAGCCCTTGAAAACATGTTTGTTGCATTTATAATGTTTAATTATTGTGTTATTTAAACAAAATGCACAGTGAGATCAGGACCAAGTAACTTGTGGTAGATTACTTCTGCTTGCATTTTAATCTATGGAAATGTTGTGATGTTTTACAGTATAATGTTTGGAACCAAGTGGCATAATTATTGACTGAAAATAATTCATTGGTTTTGCAAAGTAACGAATTATGCTGTATTCTGTAGCTAGGCCAAATACATAGTACCATTACAATATGTTGTACTTTTTATTTTCTGTAGGCAGTGCTCAATTTTTCTAAGTACTGTGAACCAGTGGTCAGAGGAGAAGGTAAGCTTCTGCCTTTAATTTGAGCAGGTGTATGAGTGTGCGGATGCTCTCCTGTGGGATTTGTGGAGGACTTTGCTTTGAACCTCATTGTGCTGTGAACTTTTCTCTGGTCCCAAGAGCATTTCTTATTCCAGTTGCACCCAGTAGGCAGCATTTGCAACAGAAGCAGTACATGACATTTGTTGTACATGTTTTATGGGAATGAGATGGATATACCGTGGAAACTTGCTTTCCCCCCCTGCCCCCACTAAGTCTTCTTCCTCACTCAGCCGTCAGGACTTCTGGAAACTAATGGGATATAAGTCATTTCTCTGTCAAGGCTGAGAAGTGAAAATGAGAGCCAAGGTTCTGCCAAGCTGTCCCAGAGTAGCTCAGAAGAAACCACAGAGAAACAGCCTTGCATGGTAGTATGTGCTTACAAAAGGATGATGATGGTGCATCATCCTAATGCAGCATTTCAGAGTCAGGGTTTGACAGCTTAGGTTATGCTGGCGACTGTTCAGGTGTCAAAGAGAGACTTTTGGTGTTGTGCGAGTTAAACGTTTAACAGAGTTGATTTTGGCTTGGTGCAGCAAATGAACGTGACACCCGCAAACTCTGGAAAAATATTGAGCCTCATTTGAAGAGAGCAATGCAGACTGTTTATCTCCGGGAAATATCCAGGTAATTTTGGGGGTGAGGTCTTGTTTGTTTTGTTGATGGTGTTGTTTTTAACAAGATTCCTCTAAAATATTTGTTCTCTCAATTATGTTTCATGGCTAGTGTGTGTTGTTTTTTTTTTTCTCTTTAACATACATTTATTTCTTGCCATATAATATTAGAGTGTCTTAGGAGAAAATTTTGAAACGAAGCGATATTTGTAGCATATAAAATATTTAATAAGAAAAGCCATGGCAGCAGGTTGCGTTCTTTTTTTCACCGATGATCATGCAGATAGATATATGGACTTGGCAAACGTGGGGGTCCATCACCAAAGTACACAGACGTGGTTTAAAACACATTTGTAAATTTGACTTGGCAGATCTTCTCTGTACCAAAGATGTAGGAAGCCTCCGAATTCTTATGAGACATTACAGATTTTGAACATCTGTGTTCTTTAGCTTTGTTTAGTAGAGTAAGGCTTGTATGTTTTCTGACCCCTTATTTTCTTGTCTGAGGGCAACGTTTTCCTTATTACTATTTTCGACAGTGTTAAAAGCTGCTAATGGACGGAGTTTGTCGTGGTTATAGTTTTAGATTGTTTATTTCTTAAGTTGCCAGACTGCTAGAGAAGAAGACAGTGGTGTTAGTTTTTAGTGGTAATAATCAGCTCAGATTTAATGTGTTCTGCATCCTTAAGATGAGTGATTCTGATGTTATGCCATGTAAAGAGAAATGATTCGGTAATGTGTGATTTCTTTATCTTGACAGACACATAATGATTTCTTTCCTTTGTCGTTGAGGCCATTGAGTATTCTGGTAACTGAACCCGAGTGGTAGTAGAAATCATTGCTAAATGTTTTGGAAAAATGATCGTTCCTTCAAAAAGAGAATTGATTGTACTTCATATGAGCTAGACTTTGCTGTACACTGAAGCATTATTCTATTTGCCTCAAATATGTATTTATACTTAGTATTGATCTTCATTACACAGTCTACTGAGGAACTTCCTGACTCTGTATATTGTATAATTGCCTACTTTAATTAGGATGTAATATAAGATTATGATATAAAATAGCCTATGAATTGTTTCCAGATAACTGGATTTCCCTCTTTACAGCTTTCTTTGATTATAAATTTGAGCTTTAGTGGTTTTTTTTTACTATGAATTTCAGCTTTCTCCGTAGTAGTTGTAGGGTTTCCCTCTGTGTACCAGTAAATGCTTGAGGAATTAAAATGACCATATTGTTTTTTCTGACCATAGAACTGTAATTACTCTGGGCTTTGCTTCAAGTGGTAACTTACAGCAATAGACTTTGCTGTCGGCTGTTGTGCTACCTGAACTGAGATGAAGATGAAACTTTTAGACTTACAGACATGGGATAAAAACTTTGCTGTTTGATAATTTGGTTGATAATTCATTATAATTTAAGTATTACATCAGTTATCATTAAACTGTTTTCATAAGTTTTATTGCTGATAAACCCTGTTCATAAAGATTTTTTTTTTTAAATTAACTTGGCTTTAACAAACCTGGAGGTTTTCTTATCCCCTTGTGGTGTACGAAATGACCTAAAATCATGACATTTCTAAGAAAGTAATTCCTTAAGGGAAGTTGTAAAGTTGTCGCGAGAGGTCCTCCTGCCCCTCTACTGTGCCCTGGTGAGGCCACATCTGGAATATTGTGTCCAGTTCTGGGCCCCTCAGCTCAAGAGAGACAGGGAACTGCTTGAGAGAGTCCAGCACAGAGCCACAGAGATGATGAAGGGAGTGGAACATCTCCCTTCTGAGGAAAGGCTGAAGGAGCTGGGTCTCTTTAGCTTGGAGAAGAGGAGGCTGAGGGGTGACCTCATAAATGGGTATAAATATGTCAAGGGGGAGTGTCAGGAGGACGGAGCCAGGCTCTTCTCAGCGACGTCCAACGACAGGACAAGGAGTAATGGGTATAAGCTGGAACATAGGAGGTTCCACAAAAATATTCGAAAAAACTTTTTCACTGTGAGGGTGACAGAGCACTGGCACAGGCTGCCCAGGGAGGTTGTGGAGTCTCCTTCTCTGGAGACATTCAAAACCTGTCTGGACGTGTTCCTGTGTGACCTACTGTAGGTGATCCTGCTCTGGCAGGGGGGTTGAACTAGATGATCTTTTGAGGTCCCTTCCAACCCCTGATATTCTGTGATTCTATGATTCTGTGAAAATTTTATGCTATGACTTAGGAAAACGTCAAATTGCTTGCAGACATTTTTTTATGCACAAAATGTTCCATTTTGATGTCTTGAAAGTTTTTTCAGTGAAGAACAAATACTGCTTTGTTTTCAAAATGATATTGTGAAGTAATCGAAATATTATTCTCACTAGCATAAACAGTTACTAAGCAGACAAAAAAAAAATAAAAAATCAGTGTTTTTACTTTTTATCCAATTCTGCATTGTTCTTGAAGCTTAAAACACTGTGAATACTCACTTACCGGAATGGAAAGAAGTGGATATTTTACAATTACCGTGTCTTCATTTTTTTACCTTAATATAACATTACTTTCTGCTTTTTTTTCAAGCATGTGTATTCTGCACATTATTAAAACTTTCATGCAAGGTAGTAAGACTTGGTATTTTTACTTATTCTCTTACTAACTGTATCCTAGCCAGTGTCATGAAATTGAGATAAGCATATACCAAGCAGGTAGTTCTCTGTAGCAGACTAACTAATAATTTCTCTTTCTCTGTTTGCATTATCTGTCTTTTAGCTCACAGTGGGAGCACTTGCAGTGTGATGACGGAGAACCTGTGCAGCTGAAAGGTATTGGGTACAGTAACTCTGCAGGAGCTTGTAATATGAAATGTGTGCTTTTTAGCTTGACTTGCTCATTGGTATCTGAGAACACGTGAATGAAATTACATAGACGAGGCTGCCTGTTGGCATTCAGTTAAAATTCAGGGTAATCTGTGTTCTGCAAAGGACTGTTGCTATTTTTTTTTCCCCTGCTATGTATCCTGGCAGTAATTTTTCCTGAAATTCTCTTTAGGTAAAAGCAGATTTCTTTCAATCAGTATTACTTATTTAAGAACAGATGGGGAATGGTCTGACCCCTGATGGTGAAACCTCTGTGTGCCAGCTCTGTGTGCTCAGAGTGTGTCTGAGTGGGGAGAAGACAAAATTATACCTGCTGTATTACACTGGGGTAGCACTTTCCTAAACAGAACAACTGTGCTGTGTCCTGATAGCGTGTCAAGGGGAAATGTTAGAATCACAAGAATTATTTCTGTTCTTTCCTTCGAGGGAGATAGCTTTGTTGATTTTATACTTTAAACAGGCTTGTATGTTGAATCTCTGTATACCTGTCAGCCTTCATTTACAACTTAGGAAGGAATACGAAAAGACTTTTTCCTGGTGATGTCAGTTCATCTTTTGACTGATCTTTTGACCAGTTCATAGTTTGCTGTAGTATGTATCATGACAAATAATTTCCTCTTTAGATAGTAGATAAAATAGCCACTTGTTTTAAAGAGTCTTTGTGGTAAAGTCTTCAGACAGTTGCAATTATCAGACTGTTTCCTATATTTGCTTTATGATCAGTGATTTTTTTTGACATTGTTGACCAGAGGAGTTTGATTCAAAGTGTTCTTATTAAACTTCCTCCTCCTGTGCCCAGCTGATCATAAAATACTTTTGCAGCAGACAACCCCAGAAATGGAGACTTTATTTAAAATAGATTTTCTAGGATTTATAGGTATATGTAGTAGGAAAAATTGTCTTGTTGGTAAACAGCAATTTATAATAACATGGTTAAAAAGCAGTTATAATAAAGCAAATAGTTAAATGTGTGATGTAGTATTGTCAGACCAGAATAATGGATGAGAAACATATTTCAGTATTCAGCTGAACTGTCTATATATAAGAGTTTGTTTGTTTTTACAGTTTGGAATTAACTTGCTATTGGAAGTATTCAAAACAATCTCGTGATTGTAAATGAAAGAGCTGCTCTCCTTTCGTGCCTACATGAGAGGAAATTATTACTAGCTATCGTCTAGGATGCTTGTCGTCACACTGGGGGCTGTTAATTTTTTAAACATGTTTAATTCCTTTATTTGCTGGTATTTGTGGATTAAAGCATAAAGGTAGAGGTACTTCATAGAACAAGAAAGTATTGAAGTGCAAACCTGTAAGCTGTAAGCGAAGAGAGCACAAGAGAGACCCTTTGATGGTCTCCAGAGTTAGACGACTGATGAAGTAAGGTGTTTTTTTGCTGTTCATATGTATAAGTTGTGCAAAAGAAGCAACTTAAGTGACAGGAGCTGGGGTATATTAAGGGGGAAAAATACAAAGTAAAAACAGGAAAGGAAGATACTCACTGGATTTGAGTTCTTGTGTATTTTGTTGTGTGAGACTTTAATCCTATTTAGGTGTATGTGTAGCAGGCTAAGTGAACTGGATCAAGTTTAAAATTTTGAAAACATTTTCTGTAGGAAATGAAACAGTACTTAAAAATTGCAAGATGCTAAACTGTTCCTGAGGAGTGCAGCACTGCTGCTTTCAGTGTCATGCCAGGCTGGATCCTGGCTGAGCTGTCTGGCAGTCTGGAGCAGCCTGAAAGTTGGGTCTTGGAGGAAAGCTTTGCCTTTGTATTTAAATAAATCTCTTCATCTGCCCTGTTTGCCGGAAAAAATACCTTAAATGAAAGTAGTCTGGATTCTTTTTTGTAAAGGAAAATCACAGCAGAGTAATTTATGACTATCAAATACAGTTTCTGAGAAGAGTTCACAAAGAGGTTAGAATGTTAGTTTTGTTTAACTACGTACCGTTCCTTGGCCCTTCACTGATTTTATAAGTGTAATAATGGAATTGAGAAAGTAACTATGCTCGTTTAGTTACAGGAGTAGAGGAGAAGAAGAAGAATGCAGACAAGTCTAATTTGAAGTTTGTGAATGTTTAGAGTGTGTTTTGCTAACTCATAAACTGTTTATTTTCTAGGACTTTCTGCACATACACATGTAGAACTTCCTTATTACTCCAAATTTCTTCTAATAGCTGCTTACCTTGCCTCCTACAATCCTGCTAGGACAGATAAGAGGTTCTTTCTGAAGGTAATGAGAATATTTTTTTTTTTCTTAGTGCTGCTTACTGGATTCTTGCATGTGGAATTTTCTAGTTTAAAACTCTTCAGCCATTCATTTTGAGCTCCGTTTCTTTGGGGGGTTCATAGGATTTGATCAGAAGCTTTTCTGTACATCACACATTATGATTGGTAATAATCATTTAGTCATTATTAATGTCCAATAAACCCAACTTCTTTGTGTCAAAACGTGCGTTAACACTGGTATAGCACAAATATTGTGCTTTACTTTTGAAGGTTGATATAGCTTAGTTTTGTAAAGATGTTAGTGGAGTGCATGCAGGGTCCTTAGGTGTAGGCCATGCTTGAATTTGCAGTGTAAGATACAAACCACAACTGAGTTAACCTTTAATGAGGTAAAATGACACAGAGCATTGTTAACTTACTTATACGAATTTAAACTTCTGAAACAGAAATGTACAAGCAGTTGCTTTTGCAGAAGTTGTGCTTCCATTAGCTTGTCTTGTTGAAATGATGGTAATGCATTTTTTAGGATTAAATATGTTAATCCTGACTCCCAAATTAAGGGCTAAACCTCAATTTCTGTAAGTTCTTGGGATGTACGAGTTTAATTTCTTTTCCTCCCCCTTCTTTTTTTTCTTTGGGCTATCTGTGGTCATACTGTAAATAAAGGCTGTGGTGCCATAGTTTGCAGTCTCCCTCTTTCTTCCTGAGGGCCCTCATGCTCCTCAAGCCTGCCTCATTGCATTGTTTTGGAGGTCTTAATTTGATTAGTGTAACAGAAAGACAGATAGCAGAAAAGTGATTGGGCAGTGATGCTTTCTGTGCATTTTAACAACTTGAAAGTTTTCTGCGTTATTTGTGGATGTATTGATATATGAATGTATGTGTATATGTACAGTATTCGTAATAGGTAGGTGTGCACGACTGAAGAAAATGTGAAAGACCAATTTGTGAAAATAACACTTCTGTTTGCTTTCCTCTTGAAAAAAGAATTTGTAGATAGATGTTTTGAGAAGTTACTGGAGTTGTAGTGATGACATACTAGTATGCTTTTAGTTTAAATACGGGTTTCGTGGTTTTGCTATGATCTTGCGTTGAAAACTGTAGGTGTTTGACCCTTCTGTCTAGTCCTTTGCAGTGAAGAGTGGAGGATTACTTTTAAGTGCAAACTGACAAGTTTCTTTATGGGTACCTTTGTTCTTTTCACTTTGCTGAAGCAATTTCTTTGTAAGAGCTTTATTTGCTGAAGAAGTGTTTATGCCCAGATTTTCCCGTATCAGTCTTGGAAAAAAAAGAAACAAGAAAGCTTATAAAAGTCAATAAGGCATGTTGTCAAAATGTGCCACATCTTTCTTGTTTGTGTTCATTGAACAAGTTTCTCAATGTGATTTTTTTCCTTTCTCTTTTTTTAGTATATCTGAAGTTAGTTTCCACTCTTGCATATGAACCATACTAAACTTTTGTACAATGAACATGAGCTTTGAAAGTTTTTGAAGCAGGGACTGTGAAGGTAACTTCATCAGTGGTATTATTTTTCCCAAGAATTGGTAAAGCAAGATAAATTACCCTTCTTTCTACAAGTATCATCTGATAGCAGTGCTATCAGTTAGCCCTTCATCAGGTGCTAAGATGAATTTCTGGAACAGCTGCATCTCAAAGCCAAACAAACTAGCACTTCTGAGAGAGTATTCAAGCTGAAGGTTTTTATGAGTTTGTGGACTGTGGAAACAGAATGTGGTTTTGTTAGGTTTGTAGTGAGTTTCAAAGTAGATTACAGAAAAAGGTATCTTCTGGAGCAGTTTAGCTAAGGACTGCCAAAGGGAAGAAGACAAAAAGATGGTGATTGAGCAAGAAGTAAGGCAAGTGTGATTTTTAGGGCTTCTAGTAAGAAAGGCAGGTGGTAACTTAAGACACAAATTCTGGACGTGTAGTGAGAGGCAGACACAGACCAGCATACTACCATATGTAGCGTACAGTTCTTTGACTGTTTTGATTCTGCCTTTGCTATATAAGGAGCATAAAATAATTGACACATAATATTTGCTTGTGTCTGTTGTTTACAGCATCATGGGAAAATTAGAAAGACCAACTTCATGAAGAAACATGAAAAGGTATGTATTTTATCTTCCTAAGCTGAGCTTGGCAACCAATATTTTCTTTCTGTTGATTTAATGTTTTGGTTTGCCTCGTTTACTGTAAAAACAACAGAATTGCATAAATAACAAGTATTGGTTTGTTTGTTTCCTATGATACAAATTTCTGCGATACGCACATTTTTATTTCATTGACATTTAACTGTAGCATAGATTTGTCTCCTAAAGCTTTTTTGTATAACAAAATGTGCTTAATAAAGCTAATTAAAGGACATCATACATGGAAGAGCCAGACAGCAGAATTTCTCTCAAAGATGTTAGGGTAATACATGGTTAGTAGTTTTGAAATTCATCACTTGCCAGTGGTGCAGTGAGGTATAAGAGCTTAAGTCTGTGCTGAGGCTTAGAAACTTGGCACTCCTATCTGTTGTTTAGGATTTCATCAGACTATTAACTAACATTTTCATGGTTATAAATAGCTAAATATCATTGATTTCATTGGACCTAGACCAGCTTTTACTGACAGAGGTTTAATATGCTAGGAAAAGCAAAGACCTATGTACATTTTTGTAAATTTAATGTAAAAAGAGAAATCAAATTTTATCATTTGTAACTTGTTGACTTCTTATTAAACAGAACTGTAAATGAAGAGTGGTGCAGACAGCACTCAATCCCTGCTGAAAAAATAATTATATTCTTTTCTTCTCTGTACAACAGGCAGTGTAAATAATCCAAGAAAAAAATTTAATATGATACTGAGCCTGATAATCCTTTACTTCTGATCCTCCCTGTAGTCTTTTCCTTAATTTTTCTGCTGCCCCTGCAGTCCTTGACTATTTTCCAAGTTTTCTTTTTTTTGTAGGGCCACAGTTTTTGCATATGAAAGGGTAAGTGAGTGTAGTTGTACTTCAGCAGTGTTGCACTGCTCAGTAGATGTTTATGTAATTTTAAGAATTCTGAAGTCTCTGAATGCATATGCTCTACAATTACTTGAAAGGACATTGTAGAGAGGTTGGTGCTGGTCTCTTCTCACAGGTAATTAGGGACAGAACCAGGGGGAATGGTTTCAAGTTGCAACAGGGCAGGTTTAGGCCGGACATTAGGAAGAAATTCTTCACGGAAAGAGTGGTCAGACCCTGGAACAGGCTGCCACACTGGAACAGACTGCCTAGGGAGGGAGTTGGGTCACCATCCCTGGATGTGTTCAAGTGTCGTTTAGATGGGGTGTTGGGTGATATGGTTTAGGGGTGAACTTGTAATGTAGGGTCAGTGGTTGGACTCGATGATCCCAAGGGTCTTTTCCAACCTGAATTGTTCTATGATTCTATGTGTCCTCTGTGCTTAGACCTCTTGTATATGTTGTCCCTGGCACACGAACTGCTGAAAACTCTGAATGCGTTTAATTATTTTCAGGACTGCTGTCTTCTTGAAATACATCCGCTTCTTTAGCTGATAAATAATTTTCAGGATAAGGAATAATTTTATCTTAGAGCAAAATTATATTCTTCCTTGTCTTCCTTGTTTTGTTTTAGTCTTTCATGGCGATAGATTTCGAACATGGATGATGAGATGAGAACAACTAGGGATATGGGAAGAACTAGGAACATAAAAAAGATGGGAAAATAGAGATTTGATGAAGAAATACTGAGGTTGTGATCACCTTAACTGTACCATAGAGCTTGTTCTCCTTTGTCATTGTTTGTTAAATGCACTTGCATCCGAGTTCTCTGTTTAATGTTCGGGAGTGCCTACATTACCAGTAGATTGATTTTCATTTTCTTATTGTTCCTGCATGAGACTAAATGGTGGTAAGTACAAAAACAGAATGGAAGGAGATACTGAAGAAAGAGCTGTAAATGAGAATAATTCAAACAAACGTTAATAAGTGTAATGTAAATGGAATTACTGGACAGAAAGATGACTAAGATTTCAGTTACTTCTTTAGTTAAATTATTCCTGGTTTTGTAGACTTTACATTTACCCTAGAAGCTAAGCATTGAACTGGCATTCTGAAAGCATGAATAGGATATGAGTGCAGATAGAGAAGCTTCGAACACTGCAAATGATGTAATTCTTGCACCTCTGTTGAATTTAAAAAATAATGTTACTTAGGAGGGAAGTAGAATTTCCTAGTAAATCAAGTATAGGTAACAGTGTTCCGTTAAACGATTTCATGCAAGGAACAGGAGGTGTGTCTTAGGGGATCAATGAACAGGACAGGAATAGTGTCGTGTTTCAGGAGCACTTTTGCTTCTAGTTTTACAGAGCACTGGTTCTGCAATGCTGCTTGTGTGTTGCTTTATAGTTTACAGATAAGAACTCTTTTGCTCTGAGGACTGATGCCAGAAACTGAAACTGCTCATAGATCAGAGCACAGTCTGGTTTTGGAGTTTCTGAGGCACGGTAGCTCCTGATAGTGGGGAGCAGGACTGCAGGTCCTTCAGCAGGGATTTCCCCCTATGGTCCTTTTAGTATACTGCAACCTTTACAAATATTTTCACAGAGGTACAATCACACAGGTGTAAACTTTTATGTTTTGGTACTATGATTCTATAGTGAGGGAAACTGAAATATAGGGATAAAGGCTTCCATGTGTAATGTTGTAAATAAAGGCTCATTTGCCGCAGTTGGTGTGAGAGTTTCTATCAGTACACCTTCCCTCAGATCAGCTCGTCCAAAGACTGATTTATAGATCAGATTCACTTCACTCCGAGCGGGTGCCTGCATCTAAGCAAGTGTCTTTTTATAAACAGTGCAGAGCTAGTCAATGCAGTCATTGGGGTGTAGAGTGTGACTTGTCTCATACTCAAGTAGGTTCTATCATCAGTCAGATGAATTGCACCATAAACTGTATTGATTAGATTTTTACTGGCTATAATGGGAACTACTTTGGCTGCAGTTGGCAGGAAGCTAACATAAGATGAGATAAATCCTTCCTTAAAAGTTTAGGTACGGCCAGGCTGAAAGTCTCATTTACGATTCTTAACTCCATTCAGTCGAGAGGCTGTGGATTTTTTATTACAAAAAGTAAATCTTGTGAATGAGGGGAAAAAATTGACTTTATCGTTCTATTAATTGCCTTGTTGCTGATAACAGCAGAATTTGTTGGGTTTCTTCACATAGTTGCCCTGGAGCAATGTTTTTCTTGTTTAGTGACAAGTGAGAGCTCTTCCTGGTGAAGCTAGGTTTACAGGAGTATGCTATTTCAGATGTCAGTCAGAAGATCAAATGTCTTGATGTGTTTTTTATTGGAAAAGAGTTTGTTTGGTGTATCTGCTTCAACTTCAGTCTGGGATTTTTGTATTGACATTTCTAGCCTGCCACCAAAGATGCTTCATTCCAATAGCAACCAGGGAAGTTCAGAAATGATTTCTGCCAAAAAGAGTGAGAAGTATAGTCCTGTCTTTAAGTATATGCTGAAAAGGTTAGAAATTCATCCAGCCAACGTTAAGGACTTTTTCCCTTTGTGCAGGTAATTTAATTTGGGTTAAGCTTTTACTCTTTAAACAGTGTTTTTGGTTCTTGTCTTGGTTGTGAAATTTTGGAATGTGAATACATGGCTCACAGTTGTGGAACGGTGAAAGACTTTAAGCCGGTTAAACAGGGGGAACATGAAGCTCTGACGCTGTGGTTAAAAAGCTCGAGCACAAGTATTGGCAACTGCAGATAAGTTGGTTTTGAACCAGTAGATGACTATTGCCAAGGTGGAAAGATGACAAAGGATACACTGAGTTAATTTAATATCTATAAAACCTTGTGAAGAGGTTTTCTGAATGTGAGAGGTGTCTTTAAGTGAGCTGAGGGAGTTCTTTGGATTCTTATTAATACTATTCCATGTAGTACTCTGCCTTAGCTTGTAGCAGGAGACTTGTAACAATCTTATTCTTTACTATGCTCTGTTTGGAGGAATTTCTAAACCATTCCTATGCTTGGAGTTATACTCTGAGAATTTGCTCTTTTGTCTTTTCCAGAAGAAAGCATTTCTCTCAACTAATTTGAAAGTTCAAAACAGTATTCTGTCAAAGCAGAATGCAAGAAACCTCTAAGCAACTAAACATAACTTCAGAGATTACTGCATGCTAATTGTGCTTGCTTGCTGCTTGAGGTGCACACATTTTAATTACTGTCTGTTTATTGATTATTTCTATTGGTAATGAAGAATATGCTTCACAGAACTGACATATTGAGAAACAGAAGGGCAGGGGATTGTGCAGTTCATAACTTACACCATACCTGTGTTCTTACTGAGGCTGCCATGCTCGGGTTTTGGCCACGTTTCCAGTATTTTTCACACTACTTTCTTTTTTAGACAAAAGGTAACTTTGGGGACACCTCCTGGTTTTGAAAAGCTGAAACACGTATTGGAAATAGCTTTTTGTTTTGCTGAAGAAATGAGTGGTTGTGTTTTACTGATGAATAACACCACAGAGTTGTGGGTGATTTATTTGAGAGGTGTTGAAAAGTGTTTTGAAACAAATTTTCTTCTGAAATTTCTCTTTAATCTTGGGTGCTCTGTTAGTAAGAATCAATCAATTTATACTACAAAAAGGGATACTGAGTGTCAAAGTAGAGTGAATGAAATACAACCTTGATAGGAAACAAGTGTATCCTTTGTCAGAACTTCTGACCATCTGGGTCATAAATAAATCTCTGTGACCCTAACAAAGCTGCTTGAGTTGTAATACTACCCATTTCTGCAGTGTCAGCTGAGGAGTGAAGATTGTGTATGGTGCAAAAGAAGGAAAAGGGACAGACTAGTTCTGTAAATGTAGAGTTCAGTAAATATGCTGAGTTCTTGTAATGTAGCTTGTGTGTAGCTGCCAGATAGCTCCTCATACAGCAGCTCCTACCAGCAGAGGAGCTGACCTGGGGCTCAGCCAGCTGAACTCTCTATGTTGGCCACCTCACCTCGTGAGAGGCGGCTGCGCTACAGGACTTCCTGCTCAGCACCTTTCGGTTGCACCTTGGATGCTCTGTCTGGTTTTGCCACCCTGAAGCACAAGACACGTGTCAATAAACCAGAACAAGTTGAGCAGAGACGCATGAAAACAACCAGGGGCCGGAGAACTCAACCCTGCAAGGAGAGGGTGAGGGAACAGCAGTTGTTGAAGCTGGAAAAGGGCAGCTTTAAAGCAGCGTGTCCTGTACCTGCCATAGGAAATAGGTACCATCCAGGTACTATACAGTGGTGCATGGTGAGAGAGCAAGAAACAAGGAGTGTAAGCTGAAAGAGATGTTTATACTGGATGTAAGGAAAGCCTTTTTCCTTATGAGGACAGCCAGGCGGTGACACTGGTTTTCTAGAGAGGTGGTGCGGTCTCTGTCCTTTACTCACTAAGACTGTACTGCTAAAGACCTGAGCAACCTGGCCTGACCTCCTAGATGACCCTGCTCTGAGCAGGAGAGGCTTGACTAAAGACCTACTGTGGTCCCTTCCACTCAGAATTATCCTATGGTAGAGTGTATTTTAAGAAAGTAGAAATATAGTAGCAAAGGTATTTCCTGTGTACAACAGTGAGCTGAAGCATTTTCATTTCTGGTTTCCTGATCAAAAAATGTTTCCTTTGGTTTTGGTGTAAAAATGGTAAAATTTACATTGTGGTATAAAGGAAGCAAAAGAGAAAATGAAAATGAAAAAATTTAAATCATATATCCTATAGAGTGACCATGATTCTATCCAAAAATATAAAAAAGCTAAACATTTTATTCCTGCAAACACATTTCTTCTGAACTGATCCATCTCTAGCTTCAATCCTTTCCCTCTAGTCCTATCACTATCCAACATCCTAAAAAGCCCCTCACCAGCTTTCTTGTAGCCCCCTTGAGATACTGGAAGGCCGCAATAAGGTCTCCTCGGAGCCTTCTTTTCTCCAGACTGAACAGCCCCAACTCTCCCAGTCTGTGTTCATAGGAGAGGTGCTCCAGCCCTCTGATCATCCTCGTGGCCCTTCTCTGGACACGCTCCAGCACGTCCATGTCTTTCTTGTGCTGTGGGACCCAGTACTGGACGGAGTACTCCAGGTGGAGTCTCACGAGAGTGGAGTAGAGGGGGAGAATCACCTCCCTCGACCTGCTGGCCACGCACCTCTTGGTGCAGCCCAGGACACAATTGGCTTTCTGGGTTGCAAGTCATCTTCATTCATCTTCATGGGCTGTGTTCATCTTCGTTAAGCAAAACACATAAATATACTTAAAAGTCGCCTGATGGTTTTAAAGATTTTTAAGAACTATTGTTCTCTTATGTTCTTTGTAAGTAATCATGAGTTACAGACTCGCTGTAGACAACAATAAATCTAAACCTTTAATATTTTTTTTTTACTAGCTAGAAATTCCATGTGCTTTTAAGAAGCCTAATTTGTCTTACCGTTGATAAACTGTGCAGGAAACTTGATAATGTAGAGAAACTATATTCACCTTCAGAATGCCGTCAAATGTACTCTTTCCTCTTTAATCCTTAGATTGGGCAAGACAATTTAATAGGACAAGTAAATCTATAAATCTAGTGACAGGAAATATACGGCATCAGATCCTCTGTTACAGCTCAAAAATGTTCCTGTCGTGCAATCTGATCTCTTACTGTGTTAGGGCTCTGTGTCTGTATCTTTATGTGGATCAGTAAGTATGTATTCAAGATTTTCCATAATCCGTGAGTAGGCTTATGAAGGATTGTTGTGAATTGTAGTACCTCACTAGAAACTAAAAAGCTGTGAGAATGACACTTTTGTGATATTCCACGAAAGATCTACTGAACTGAAATGTTTTTGTTTCTTTTGCAGACCAGCAATCACCTCCTTGGGCCAAAGCCGTTTCCCTTGGACAGGTTGTTAGCGATATTATACAGTATTGTGGACAACAGAGTTGTTCCAACTGCAAATATATTTTCTCAGGTGAGTGTGTACTTTGGTCTCTTTATTGCCGTTTTGCTCTCTGGATTTTTTTTCAAGTCATTCTAATTAAATGTAATGAGAAAACAACCACAACGATAATTTATGTTGAAGACTCAGAGTAATATTTATCTGTATTGCTGGCTATGAATTCAAGACTGTATCTGTCTAATGGTCTGAAACCTTCTAATAGCTAACTTTTTCCTGATACTGGACTGTGACCTGTGCTGATTAGTTCCTTGCCTTCTCATTGAAGTCTGTCAGCATATTTGTGTTTCAAGTGTATAAATGTTCACTGTCTTATGGTGAAGATGTCACCTTGTAATGTACGTTACAGACGTGGTGGTGAAAAAGGAGCAGAGGGAAGAATAAGGTATTAGCAGGTGGCAGGTGTTTGCTGTGATTTACGGATGATGTTTTTCTTTCAGACCAACTTTTAACAGTTTTGCAGGGGAGAGTCAGTCTCCTTTTTCACTAGATGGCAGCATAGCTATAGAGTTGAGTGAAATTAAATAAATCTGGAGTTTTCTGTAGACCTCCGAGTTTGTCAAGTGTAAATACCTGTTCTGTATAAGTAGTTTTCTATTGTCAACTTGATTCTTAGCTCTTTTGTGTCCACTCTAGATAATCTCAATTTCTTTCCTGCTTTCCAGTTGTGCTTAATTCACTGCACTATGAAGTCTGTAAGTCAAGGTGTCGGTCTGTCTTGGTTTAGAAGACAGGTGACTGCCAGGGGAAACCAGAGCCTCCCTTGGAATAGGGAATGTAAACCCCCCCTCCACCTCCGAATTGCTATAATTTTGAAATTATGGGGCTTTCAGGCAAAGATATGGGGATAGGAATACCAGTTCTTTACTAAGAATATTGCAAACTGAAGAGGTAATGATACAGAGAAAAGAACAACAGCGAACAAATAATCCCAGAACCTCTGACAGAGTCAGAATACGACCTGACTTGGGAGCAGTCCAAAATAAGTCCTCCTCTATGGCGAAATGGTGGGGGGTCTGGCCCGTGCTCCTCGAGGGCCGCATGGCTGGTGAGTCGGCTCCAGGCGGCAGCGCAGCTTGAAAGGGCCCTGGGCAGGGCCCGGTAGCTCCATCGGCGGCGGCTTCGGGCTAGGGGCGTCCTCCTCCCACTGACTGCCCCATCATTAACCCGTGATTATATATTAACAGAAGGCACCCGCCCCCTGGAGTTACAAGAAATAAAAATATCTTCCAACCGGTTTCAACGGATGAAAATAGAATTACACATTTTTGGTTACATATTGTAACCCAAGACACGGTCACACCCCTTACCTTACAGGGTGATGATTTTGTGTTTTGCTTTAGGTAGTGCATTTTTCTGATTTAAGACAGGAAGTGTTGAAGCCAAAACTCGGAATACTGAGGCAAAAGGCAGTTGTCTTATACAACACTGTTACACAAACTCAGAAGAAAGTGTAATCCAAGTAATATTCAGATTGGTTTCACTTGTGCTCCAAGTCTGCTGATGATCCACCGCATAGATAGGTACTTCTTGTCTTAAACCTTTGTTTCTTTTTTTTTTGTCTCTGCCTTTCTTTCCACAA